GCATCCTCCTCATTGTTGGATTGTTTGTTGCCACCTATGAGCCACAAGTGGGTTTATGGCCTCGTGTATACTTAATTAGTTCAACTTCTCTAGATTATGGTTTAAATAAGTGAAGACATTAGCCTCTGACATAATTGGGCCACAAAGCATCTTTTCAGAATATTTGTGTAGCTTAACTCTAGATTCAGAGAGGTGTTGGTGAGGCTCTGAAGAGGTCACAGGGTCAAGGAGGTCATGATTCTCCCGCTCCTGTGCTTGCAGGAGTGGGGGCCCCCTTCTAGGAGCAGAGAGCGGGCTCTTGTCTAACATGTGGACATGACTTGTCCAAGCAGACACACGGGCTTACAGAGCAAGAGACTCTATTGGGAAGGGGCACCCAGGCGGAGCAGGAAGGTAAGGGACCCAGGAGGACTGCTCTGCCACGTGGCTCCCTGTCTCGGGATTCATGGTGATGGGGTTAGTTTCCGGGTTGTCTCTGGCTCCTCGTTCTGACTCAGGGTCCTTCTCGCATCCCTCAGCCAAGATGGATTCCAGTGAGGAGGATCCTGGGAGGTTGGTAGGATGTGTCGGACCTTTCCGGAATTCCTCCTCTTGGCAGTGGCTTGTTAGTGCCGTGTTCCTTCCCAGGACCTCGTGTCTCAAGATAACTCATGCAGAGGGTTACTGTGGTGCCTGGCCAGGGTGGGCGGTTTCGGTCACTATTTCCCCTCCCACTGTCTCCCCTGTGGGTCGCTCTGCAAGGAGCAGGTTTCAGGCAGAACAAGAGTTGCAAGCATGGGCCCCTGCGCTCTCTAGAAGAGCGGGTTCTTTTGTGTTTTGCCCACAGCTGCCTCTCTCCTTGCCACCCTTATGTCATCATTATTGTCCATACCTGTGTGATGTTTTATGCTGGCACACACCTGCTGGAATGGAGCAGCTGCCATATTTCAGAGCTGCTCCCCAGGACAGATGTCATGAAGCCTCGTGGCAGAAACAAAATACACCTCCTGCTCATCCCTGCCTGTCCTTCCTCCCAACTGTTATTGCCCTCTCCTCCCCAGGTGAGGTCACCAGGCTGCAGACCCGCCAGCCTGCTCGAGGGCCACCCAGGAGATGCTGCCCACACATGTCCACTTCTGTTACTTGGCTTCTCTTATTTTCGTTAATCTTTACAATTTTTGGCTGCGCTGGGTCTTCGTTGCCGTGTGGGCTTTTTCTCTAGTTGCAATGAGTGGGGACTGCTGTCTAAGGGCAGTGCACGGGCTTCTCGTTGCAGAGCACGGGCTGCAGGCTGCGTGGGCTCAGTGGTCGCAGCTCCCGGACTCCAGAGCACAGGCTCAGTACTTGTGGCCCACGGGCTTAGTTGCTCTGTGGCATGTGGGATCTTTCCGGATCAGGGATCAAACCCCGTGTCTCTTGCATTGGTAGGCGGATTCTTTACCACTGAGCCCCCTGGGAAGCCGGTTACAAAGGAGAGAAGGGGCTAAGTGAAACCTTCGTTTTCACCTGCCCAGACCTCTGGGCAAGATCTCTGGGAGCATTTGAAAGCCACTTTAATGAGACCAGGAATCATGAAATTTCTTTTCTCAACCATGGCCACTACTTGGTGCTTGAAAAACAATCTAACTTATAGCTCGGGCTGCACGAGTTGTGAGCTGGCCTTGACTTGAGTAGAAAGACAGTAGAAACAGGAATCAGAATCAGAATGCTGACAAAGAAGGGTGACACAGCTGTCCCATCCTCGGTCATGAACAGGGGCCTGCACAGTGCCGGGCCCTGCTCCGCAGAGCACACCCCCGGCCCCGGGCTGGCAGGAAGGCTGCGGTAGTTTGTGTCCTTGCCTTAGTGCTGTGCTAACCCAGGTAGAAGCATCCAGAGGGCTGTCACAAAATCCCAGCTCCCAGGCTTCCCTGGCTTGGAAACTCACAGAGGGACCTGGCATCTGAAATGTTTAAGTGCTTCCCGGGTGCATCCAATCTGAAGGTAGCATTGGAAACCCCTGGGTTAAAGGAGTCTGTTTAAATGTGTGGGGTTGAAAGGAGGTTAACAGGAATTACTGGGCTACTGTCTTTTTTAAAAATAATAAAGGTAAATAGAGTAGGGGGTCCCCAACCTCTGGGATCTAGCGCCTGATGATCTGAGGTGGAGCTGTGTAATAATAATAGAAATAAAGTGCACAATAAATGTAATGTGCTTGAATCATCCTGAAGCCATTCCCACAGCCCTTCTGTGGAAAAATTGTCTTCCACAAAACTAGTCCCTGGTGCTGAAAAGGTTGGATGCGGGTGGAATAGAGGCATGCTAATGAGCACAGGTGTGTGTGTGGATGGACACTACAGAGGCTGTGCATGTGGGATGCTGACACCTGTGCACGTATTTATACATTTGGAGGAATGCTAGGTCCACTGACTCTTCTTCCTTCCTTTCCTTAGCAGCACACGCTCAACCGTTCAGAGGCAGCCCAGTCTCTCTAAAGATGTCATTCTGCCTCTACGACACTTCTCAGATATTCTTGTTCATTTCCATTGCCACCGTAAGGACCTTTTCTTCTCCCTTGTCTCAATAACAAATAGCCCAGCCTCTCTTTCTGCTGGGGTTTACTTCCGTAGTCCCCATCCAATCCATCTTCCACATGCTGACCGTACCTGAGTCACTCTCGTTTTTTAATCACTTTGCTGGTCCCAGTGTGTGCGTGCTGCACGCTGAGTCACTCCCGTCGTGTCTGACTCTTTGCGACCCCATGGACTATAGCCCACCAGGCTACTCTGTCCATGGGAGTCTCCAGGCAAGAATACTAGAGTGGGTTGCCATGCCCTCCTCCTTGGGATCTTCCCAACCCAGGGATCGAACCTGCATCTCCTACGTCTTCTTGCATTGGCAGGTGGGTTCTTTTCCACTACCACCACCGGGGCAGCCCCAAGGATAAATGGTGACCATGGCTGTGGATGGCCTTACCTAGTATTTACTCACACAGGTCTTTACTCCTGGCACCAGCTCTCAGAGGTGTCACCCTTATCCCCATTTTACAGACGGGACATTTTACAGATGGGTGCCTTTCCCCAAGGTCACTGAGAGTCCCCGATGGCCCCAGAGCTTTGGCTCTGCACCCCTCCACTTCCCCACCTCTCTGGACACTCTCCGGACATGTCAGGAAAGGCTACTTTGTGCTAATGGAGTTTTCATACATTGTGTCTCATCTTCACATCCATCCTGCCGGGTAGGCATCATCATTCCTGCTCCGCAGAAATCAAGGCTTGCAGGGGTTAAATACTTTGATCAAAGTCCTGAAGCTAATTAAGGAAATCCTAGGTGGGATTCCAACCACCTGCCCCTCCTTCCAGGCTCTGCATTCTTTTCACCACACTGCTGGGGATTGTCTGATTCCTCCAGGGTGGCTTCTGTGCCTCCTTATCGTCTGTTTACCAACCTACCTTTCCACTCCATATGTCCCATTCCATCGTGCAGCCATGCCACCCGCCATCTGCTCAGCCAGTTGCTTTGCCTGGAGTGTTCTTCCCTGCCCAACCAGGGCTCCCATGACAGGGACTCTTCCTGTACTGCTGATGATACCCTGTGTGGAAACTGCACACAGCAGGACAGGAAGGCTATTTGCGTTTTCTCTCCAAGGAACCCTAAAATAATGCATCTCCTCTTCACCCTCCTACGTGATTCTGCATCATGAATGTAGCATGTACCCAGCACACATGTCTACCTTCCTGCTGGGGGGGCATCTTGAGGCTCAGTGTCATCCCTTCCTCCTGTTTCTTTTGTTCCTATTTTTATTGGAGTATAGTTGCTTTACAATGCTGCGTCAGTCTCCGCTGCGCGGAGTGAACCAGCTCTATGGATGCACACATCCCCTCTCTCGGATTCCCTTCCCATTTGCGTCACCACAAAGCACTGAGTCCTGTCCTCCTCCTGTTTCTGTCTTTGGTGTCCTGGGCACTGTGAAGCCAACAGCAGATATCCAGTAGATATTTGTTAAACAAATGTTAAACAAATGAGGGGCAGACAAGGAGGGGAAAGCCATCAAACTGTTTGACCCAAGGAAACTCGATACAGCTGGAGTGCCCAGAACAGTCAGGAAAATATTTACCTGAAGGCCTTGAGAGAAATGTCCAGTGTTTGGAAATTTCCAGAAGGAAGTGAAGAGCTAATGATTATCCTACTGAGCTAATCTGGCTTGTCCATTTTGCCTACCCCAGGTTTTTTGTCTCTTTGTAATTTTATTTCCTTCAATATGCTTTGCTAATTACCGCCTGGTAAAAAGCCCAGGAGTCCTATACCTCCAGCATGGACCTGAGAGAGAAGATGTAGCTGGGAGACAGTCTGTGAAAGCTGTGCTTTTCAAGACTTTCACCGGACTCCTGGAGAAGGGAAAGGCTATCCACTCCAGTATTCTGGACTGGAGAATTCCATGGACTGTATAGTTTATGGGGTCACAAAGAGTCCGACACGACTGAGCAATTTGCACTTTCACAAGCCCTAAAGGGGGGTGGCTGTGGGGTGGAGGAGGTGGTTCTTATGCATAGAGGCAGAATCTTGCAGGATGGAAACAGATGCCCAGGAAAACTTTTTTGCCCCTGGGAAAGTTAATTCTTTAGCCATTTAATTAGGGTTAGTTTTAATGTTAGTGGCTCAGTCATATCCGAGTCTGCGACCCCCCCTGGACTGTAGCCTGCCAGGCTCCTCTGTCCATGGAATTCTCCAGGCAAGAATACTGGAGTGGGTAGCCATTTCCTCCCCCAGGGATCTTCCTGACCCAGGGATTGAACCCAGGTCTTCTGTATTGCAGGCAGATTCTTTACTGTCTGAGCCCCCAGGAATGAACGGTTAGCATACCAAGTAAATGGTTTTTGGACTCAAGGTGTAAAGCACTTGGCACAGATGGTCAAAGCAAGGCCAACCAACAGGCTCGGTGGGAGGGTTTAGGATGCACAGGTGCGCTGTGCTGCAGGAAGGGGGCCTCCCGGGGGGTGTCCATCAGCACGGGGCTTGAGACTGCGTTCTGCACCCCACAGGTGAGCGTCCTCACCACCCTGGAGCGGAGGTTCAACCTGCAGAGTGCCGACGTGGGCGTGATCGCCAGCAGCTTCGAGATCGGGAACCTGGCGCTCATCCTCTTCGTGAGCTACTTCGGGGCGCGCGGGCACCGGCCGCGCCTCATTGGCTGCGGCGGCATCGTCATGGCGCTGGGGGCGCTGCTGTCGGCGCTGCCCGAGTTCCTGACCCACCAGTACAAGTACGAGGCGGGCGAGATCCGCTGGGGCGCCGAGGGCCGCGACGTCTGCGCCGCCAACGGCTCGGGCGGGGACCAGGGCCCAGACCCGGACCTCATCTGCCGCAGCCGGACCGCCACCAACATGATGTACTTGCTGCTCATTGGGGCCCAGGTGCTCCTGGGCATCGGTGCTACACCCGTGCAGCCCCTGGGCGTCTCCTACATCGACGACCACGTGCGGAGGAAGGACTCCTCGCTCTACATAGGTAGGCGTTGCGCCAGCGCCCGCGGGGCGGCGGTTCGCTTTGTGGCTGATTGCCTGTTTAGAGAACCAGGGCGTGTGAACAGAGGAAGGAAATTTGGGCCCCAGAACTTTAAGTTTCGTCCGGAGCCCTCATTCTCAGACTGGGGTTGTTTGGGAAAAATGCTGAGGCCTGAATTGCACACCCCAGAAAATTCTGGGGGTCGTTGGGGTGCAGCCTGGACTGGTAATTTTTTAAGGGGCTCCCCGGGTGACTCCAATGTACAGCAGAATTTGACCTCTGCTGTGCAAGAGCATCCACAAGCCTGGGAAGGGGGAGGAGATTGGGGGGAGTTTTATATATATATGTTTATCTGCCTTTGTGTGTGTGTGTGTTTGGACTTTGGGCAGCTTGCTGTTTGCCAGCAAGGAATCCTTGGGGGTCTACACATTGGAAAGCCCTGCTTTTAATCATCAAAATGACCTCCTGGTCGTTGTCTTATTGAAGCTCAAAGATAAAAGTGATTGCATATGCCCAGCATTTGGTATTATTCAAAGTTGGTAACTGTGTGTGTGTGTGTGTGTGTGTTTTCCCCTGTAACGAGGTTATTTACTAGAACCGGATATTTGAGAAGAAATAAGGTACATGTGAACTTTTGAAAAAAATTGTTTTGTGCTACAATGACTTCTGTTATTTTATACTGGAAGGATGGAAACCATCTGTCAGTTTTGGGGCTAAGAAACAGCCAGAGGTTGAATTACAGCAAACGAGCTTCTCCGTCACTGCTTCTGGGCACTGTTGCATGGTCATGTGTAGGGCAAGGGCCGGCTTGCCGAGCATCTCTGTTTTCTTGTTTGCTGAGTTTAATTTTGCCTCCCACCATCTGTTAGATTCTATGATACGACCCCAGTCACTGGGTGCTTACGCTTTGGGGAAAAAATAAAATAAATTACCTCCACCTGCAGAAGCTTTGGGCCTCCCCAAAGCACTGTGCCTTGGAGCATAAAGTTAATTACAATATGGAGGTTTAGGTTAAACTAGAACTTGAACAGAATTGGTCAGAAAGCCTCCTACCTGCCAAGTTTCCCCCATACGCTGTCCAGGCTGTCTGAGGGTTCAAGGCAGTTACCCCCTGAATGCTGATTTTCCTTGGTGACTTCATGTTCTACCTGTGAGGTAGATGACTCTATTGAATACATACGTCGTATGTCTTAACCCTCTGTGAACAGGCTCTAGAGTAGAAAGGTGGAGAGTATGCGTCTTCCCATCCAAGGGGTGGAGAGCTTGTGGGCCCAGTCACAGCCTACCTCTGGAACACAAAGGATTGATGGCTAGCCCCTCTGCTCTTTGCTTAGGGGTTTCCATAATTGTGTCTGGAGGTGGGCACAGTGGGGAGAGGGGTCTAAGGAAATCATTTACACTTTGATGCTTCTAAGGCTTCAGTGAAAACCCCTCCAACATGAGTCTGCTGCAGGCCAGAGAATGGGCCACAGCCTATAGCCAAAATAGTCTCCCCAGGTCCATCCGGGCCAATAGACTCAGACTTGACTGATATCACTCTGGTACCCCAGGATAGAGAGATTTTGGTAGCAGGAACAGCAAGTAGATAAATCAGAGCCCAGGGAAGGAAGTGGGGAGTGAAACGCTGAGCTCTTGTGTCTCACGATGAAATCAAGTAGAAAAATGTCTCCCCAGCATCTCCCTGAAGCCACAGGCGAGGTAGATCACCTCTGCTTGGAGCCCACGCCTGGAGCTGCACGCTCAGCGTCCTCCTGTGGAAGTTCACTCTGATGAGTCAAGCATTTTCCAGCACTGATGGGGCCTGGTTCATAGGTCAGGCTTAGGATGTGGACTCATTTCAGTTTTGTGAGAGGTGGAAGCTTGGGCTATAGGGCTGACCACAGCAGGCACGGCCCTTCTCTTTTTCTGAGACTTTTTCTTTGGGATTTACGGTGACTCTCTAGTAGGGGGGACGTCTCGACCAAATTTCTTGCTGGGCCTCCTCTTCCTCTCTGACAGTTTAGCATTCCCAGAGTTGGGAGTGTGTTTGTGTGCTGTGTGGGCAACTGGGTGGCGTCTGGCCAGATTCTAGGGCATGACAGTCCAGGGCTGTGAGCAGGCCTTCCTGAGTGCTTCTGAGCTGGTTTCTTGGGTCTGTGTTTTGAGCAACAGAGAGCAAACTTCTGCACAGATTGGCCTCTGTAGGTGGCCTTTTGTCCCATGCATGGTTGGAATTCTCCAGGAACAATTTAAGAAGACCATGCATATGCGGAGCACAACTGATCCAATCGCTTATTGTACAAGTCAGAAAAAATGTTTGTGACCATGGGACTGTTTTGGCGTTTATCCCCTGCAAGAGGGAGCTAGTTTCTGAAGCCATTTAATTGGCTTCCGGAAGTATTTAGGAGAGCCGACAGAATGGGATTGGTATGAATTATGGCGTCTTAACTCCCTGCAGGAGGACAGTCTGAAGGGACTGGCCCTGGGAGGTAGGTGTCAATGGATGCCCATCACCCGTCGGGGTGGAGTAGCATGTGTGCCCTTTGGCACTGCCCCTGCGGAGCTGGTTAAGAGAGGCCCACCTTGGTTCTGCCCCTGCAGAGCTGGTTAAGAGAGAGAGGCCCACGGCCAGCCATGTGATCACAGGCCTGACATGTGAGTGTGAACTCGGGACTGAAAGGGTTTTAAACCCTGCACGTGTGAAGCACAGGTGGTTCACAGCTGCTCCGTCCCCAGGGGTGTCAGCACCGACCCAGCCACAGGCCACTGGTGACAAGGCCTACCCCCTGAACAATTCCTTTTAGCTTTTGGTTATACAAAATCCTGATTCTGCATCAGTATGCTTCTGCACTGGTGACTCACGATGGGTTACTTACCTCGACCCCCTACGGCCAAGGGGAAAGGGAAGCGTTCCATCTCAAATCAAGCTGATATTTTCCACCCTAAGTCACTGTTTGCTGCAGCCTCTTGTGGCTGAATTACTGCCAAACTCGCGGATTCCTTGATGGTCATTCACAAGGGGCTTCTAGGGCTGGCACCATTCTGCAGCCGCTCCTGCCCAGCCTGGGGAGGGAGCCAGGGGAACTCATTACCAGGGGACAAAACCCAATGAATGGGGACACCACGCTGCTGGCAGACTTCTCAGGACCACACAGTGTGGAGCCAAGCCTCACGGCCCAGCCGGAGAGTGACCCGGGGGTGGCACGTGGCACTGTCTCTCCCCAGAGGGACTGTTGGAGCAGAGTGGCAGGGGGGACCTTTGGAGTGGGGGCATGAGTGGGGTCCATGAGCTGACCTCTGGAAGCTGCTCCTACTCCTCACCCATGTGCTGACCTTCCAGGAGCTCGGCTTTCTTAGCTGCTCTGTTTCTCCGAGTTCAGAGCACAGCCTGTTGCCTTGTAGGCAAGAGTTAAGTAGGCTAATGGAATGGACTCGCCGGGTCCTTTCATTAGGCTGCTATGTCAATCGGTTGGTGCCTTTTTCTTTTCCCTTTGAAAAGGAAAAGACTCCAAAGGAAAGTGGTAAGGTTTTTTCGTTTGTTTTTAAATAACATTATTTCTAGTTGAAAAGTATTACATATTCACTGTGAAAGTATAGAAAAAGAATCATTTAAGAATAATTACTCTTAGCTTTATGTTTATATAAAATCCTTCTTTTTCTGCATTGTTATGCTTTTCTACACACAAAAGAGGTCTTTATTGTGAACATATCTTGCTACTGTCTTTCTCTCTCAATCTTTCTTGAACATTTCCCTGTGTCATTAAATATTCTTCAGTGATGATCTTTCTGCATACATCATATTCACTTGTGGATATATACTATAATATTAAATGCCCTCTATTGTAGAACATGGGTTTTTTTTTTTTAAGTTTTGCTCTTATGAAATAAAGCAGAGAAGTGAACTGTGATTCTGAAAGGTTAAGTAACTTGCCTATGATAATGAATGGGGCCGAGCACAAGGTCTGAGAGTGACGTTTGTTTTGGTACATCTGGGACAGGGCTGAGGTGGGTGGGTCAGGGGACAGAGGGCTGGGGATGCTCCAGAGGGTTGGGAGCATGCAAGGGCATTCCTCAAGACAGCCTGAAGCCTGTCTTAGGGAAGAATCAGAGGTGCCAGGAAGGTGAGAAGAGAGCTGGGTGTCTCAAATCCAAGGGCAGAGATGCAGTTGGAATGGGGAATGGGTGTGAAAGCAGAATAGAGAGTTGGAGGAGGAGGAGGAGAGAGAAGGGAGTCCTGGCTAACAGGGCACGTCTGGGGTCTGGAAAGATTTGTGCCCTGTTTCATGGTGCTTTGAGTATTGATGGGTGCAGATTAGAGCTGGAGGATTCCATGTTCCCCTCAGCTCTCTCCAGAACTATGGACAATGTACTCTCACTAGGCTGTTCATTCTATCGGAACCACAATCACCATTGGGAAATTACCCTTATGTCGAATTGGAAATCTGTCTCCTTACAACTACAACGTTCCACGCACTGGCTCTGGTCTTCTTTTTTCCACCTTGGCAAGTGGCAATCCCTCTTCCATGTTTGGTCACCCCGCAGCTGGCCGAGCACCAGCCTCGCATGGGCAGGGAAGGGCACCTAAAACGTGGCTCCTCTGTACTGGGACCTCTGTTCCTTACTTGATTTGGTTTCCTGCTACATTCGGCTGCTGTTTCCCTCTTTATGAAGGATGATGCCAAGGCTGCAGGGCTTGTTACTTGGGGGCAAGACCAGGTGAATGGGGCACGCAGGCTTTGGGTGCTGTATTGCTTTGCTAGGGCTGTGCAATGTAATATCACAGACTGAGTGGCTTAAACCAGTGGTCCCCAACCTTTTTTTAGCACCAGGGACCGGTTTTGTGGAAGACAATTTTTCTGCCAACCCAGTTGGGGGAGGTTGGTTTCAAGATGATTCAAGTGCCTTACATTTATTGTGCGCTTTAATAATAGAAATGTTGATAGAATATTCAGTTCAGTTCAGTCACTCAGTCATGTCTGACTCTTTGCAACCCCGCGGACTGCAGCAAGCCAGACTTCCCTGTC